ACATGATCAATTAGTAAAATTAATACATCAATGTTAAACTAAATTAATAGAAACAGAATATTATTATTAATATTAAATTAATGCTATTTTTTATTTTGTTTTATCTTTGCTTAAATGCAGACAAGTTAACCAGACTTTAACAAACTACAAAAACCTTTTTATTCTCCATGTAACAGCAGAATTGTTGTTGTTTTGCATGATATATTATCCTTTTGAGGGGAGCATTCGTTGACATAGGCCTAGATGTAATAAGATTTGTGCTTGAATTATATGAGATATTTGCCCTGAGCATGTTATTTATTACAACGCATTTCATAATGCGTACATGCGGACAAACGTCTTTAAAATGATACTGTTACGCTAAATTATTCTTACTCCTTGGAGAGCTCTCTCCTCAGAATTTAATTATTTTATTCCATTGTTCAATGCATTTTCACCAGTATTGCTTTATGGCTGACGTGGTACTTTCTCTGTGACACGTTCCCATAGAAAACAATGGTTTGATTTAGCATTGGGAGGCGCAGCTCTATGGAATATGAATGTGTGTTATGTCTGCAGCTAATTAGCATTAGCGCTTGCATTGCAGCATGAACTCATCCTACTGTAGAGACCCTCTCTTCATCTGTTAAAGCTATTATTGGTGCAAACCCACTTTCCCATAGGAAAAATGTATTGCTCAGTGGTTGATTTTCCTAAACTCAGGAGACTTAGATGAGATTCTCATATATCTCTCATTTTAGTATCAACAGCATTTCAGATGTTTCTCCTAAAATTCCTTAGGAGAAATGGAATTAGACACAAATGAGACATGAGAAACATTTGAGAAAAAAATAGTCAAAACAGAGAATGTGTTGGAAGAAACATAGAATATCTCTATTGTCTTGCTGCAATCTCTATCATATGGAAGCCCGTTTCCGCCACTGAATAAAAAACTATAATTCTGTAAGTCATAATAATGAGAAACTTTCTCAAAATTATGACTTAGTATCTCGTTATAATGAGAAACTTTCTCGAGTCATAATTTTGAGAAAGTTTCTCATTATTATGACTTACAGAATTATATTTTTTTATTCAGTGGCGGAAACGGGCTTCCATACTATCAAGACTGCATTATAGGAATATTTTATTGCTCACTGGTTGCTCTTTCTAACCTCAGGACACTTAGTTGTGATTCTCATGTGTTTCTCATTTTAGTCTCAACAGTGTCTCAGATGTTTCTCCTAAAAATCCTCAGGAGAAATAAAAGTAGACACAACTGAGACATGAGAAAGTTCTGAAAGAAAGGAATCCAAAATGACAATGGGAGAGAAACGTGTGAGAAACATGGGAGATCTCTTTATTGTCTTGCTGTAATCTCTTGCAAGACTCCATTATAAAAATGTTCTACTGCTCAGAGGTTGCTGTTGCTTTTTTATTGCAATGGGGTTTTTCACCTTTAATGGTCAGGACAGTAGGAGTAGAGACAGGAAACAATTGGACAGGTGAGAATTGAACAGGAGCAGGAAAGTACCTTTAGCTGGGATTGGAATCCATGTTATCTGAGGTGCAGTTGTGCCTTCATGTCGATGTGCTGCCCACAAGGCTATGGCTTTGACAGAGGTTACTCTACGCTCAGGATACTAAGGGGTGATTATCTTATATGTCTCATTGAGATATCAGCTTTTGTCTTAAGATGTCTTCAGTTTTATTTTAGGAGAAATATTAAACTTTTACTAATATTGTAAATACTAAAACTATAATTTAAATAGCATTAAACATTTCAGAATATCAATATTACTATTACTAATATTACTAGTTTAAATGTTATAATTTATCTTCAATGTCCAGCACTGTATATACACCACATTTTCCAAACACACTAGAAAGGACTTACAAGTGCAAGATGTTTAGTATAAACATATACTACATTTTTTAAACCTTTTTTAAACAAATGTAACACTAGTGTACCAGTGTTTTTGAATTATTTACAATTGAATTATTGTTTTTACTTTGTTTAGTATTAAAATTTTGTCTTGTACAGCCCATTTTTGCATGTATGTATATAGGTTATGGTTTCCTCTGTTAAATCACTGTGCAATAAAACATTGTCTACATAAAACAACTTCAAATATGACAATGCATGCATTGTCTTTGATTGAAATGGTGTAGATAAATGACATTGAAGCTAACCAGAGGGAAGAAAAATAAAATAAAAAAGAGATCTCTTTACCATTTCAAATATTTCTCCTAGACAGAAATGAGGTTGCTTTAAGATTGAATGGACACTTTTGCTTGAGTCTCCTGCTTCTCAAACTTGTCTCCTGAGACAAAAACACTAACAATCTCACAATGGTCTCCTTTAAAGCTTTAGAAGATATCTCAACAACTTTACACACTGTGCTCAGATATTTCTCCTTAGCTAGAGACTCTGGATCTCTCACATTTGCCTCCTCAAAAATTTAGAAGAGATCTTAACAACATCACACACTGTGCTCAGATTTTTCTCCTTAGCTAAAGACCCCGGATCTCTCACATTTGTCTCTTTTAAAGCTTTAGAATAGATCTCAACAACATCACACACTGTGCTCAGATATTTCTCCTTAGCTAGAGACTCTGGATCTCTCACATTTGCCTCCTCAAAAATTTAGAAGAGATCTTAACAACATCACACACTGTGCTCAGATTTTTCTCCTTAGCTAAAGACCCCGGATCTCTCACATTTGTCTCTTTTAAAGCTTTAGAATAGATCTCAACAACATCACACACTGTGCTCAGATATTTCTCCTTAGCTAGACTCTGGATCTCTCACATTTGTGACCCTGGACCACAAAACCAATCTTAAGTCCCTGGGGTATATATTTGTAGCAATAGCCAAAAATACATTGTATGGGTCAAAAGTATTGATTTTCCATAAAGATATTTTATAAATTTCCTACTGTAAATATATCAAAACTTAATTTTTTATTAGTAACATGCATTGCTAAGAACTTCATTTGGACAACTTTAAAGGCGATTTTCTCAATATTTAGATTTTTTTTTGCACCCTCAGATTCCAAATATTGTCCTATCATAACAAACCATACATCAATGGAAAGCTTATTTATTCAGCTTTGAGATTGTGTATAAATCTCAATTTCAGAAAAATGTTCCCTTATGACTGGTTTTGTGGTCCAGTGTCACATTTGTCTCCTCAAAAGTTTAGAAGAGGTCTCAACAACATTACACAGTGTGCTCAGATTTTTCTTCTACACTAAAGACTCGAGAGTTCTCAAATTTGTCTCTTCTAAATTTCAGAAGTAATCTCAATAACTTTACAAAGTGTGCACGGAGTCAAATGCCTCAATATGAGCTCAAACATTTCTTCCATATAATATGTATTAATAATCAAATTAGTCAATTAATAATCAAGACTGAGTCATAAGCCATTTATGTGCCTTTCAGCAAAGAAAGCGCCAGGGTTACATTTTCTATAGATTTGATTAAGACATCCGCTACATTACTATTTCCAACAACATTATAAGTACATAAACATTGTCCTATACAGTAAAGTAGCATTGTCCTTATTTCTGCATAATTTCTCTCTCAATATAGCCTTTAACTCTGAATTTATGATTTCCCCCCCTTTATTTAGTGCCTTTTAAGTACTTGACGATGCACACTTTGTAAAGTTGAGATCTCTTCTAAAGCTTTACAGGAGACAAATATGAGACCCCCAGATTATTTAGCTAAAGAGAAAAATCTAAGCACAGTGTGTGATGTTGTTGAGATCTCTAATCTAAACTTTTGAGGAGACAAATATGAGACATCCAGAGTCTCTAGCTAAGGAGAAAAATCTGAGCACAGTGTGCGATGCTGTTGAGATCTTGTTTGGAACTTTGGAGGAGACAAGTGTGAGACCACCAGAGTCTTTAGACTAGGAGAAATATTTGAGCACAGTGTGTGACGCTGTTGAGATCTTGTTTGAAACTTTGGAGGAGACAAGTGTGAGACCACCAGAGTCTTAAGACTAGGAGAAATATCTGAGCACAGTGTGTGACGCTGTTAAGATCTTGTTTGAAACTTTGGAGGAGACAAATGTGAGAGATCCAGAGTCTCTAATTAAGGAGAAATGTCTGAGCACAGTGTGTGATGTTGTTGAGATCTCTTCTAAAGCTTTAAAGGAGACCATTGTGAGATTGTTAGAGTTTTTGTCTCAGGAGACAAGTTTGAGAAGCAGGAGACTCAAGCAAAAATCTCCGTTCGATCTTAAAGTAACCTCATTTCTGTCTAGGAGAAATATTTGAGATGTTAAAGAGATCTCACTTTTGATTTTTCTTTCCTATGGGTTTGAGTCCCATCCAGGAAAAACAAAAATCTTGGGGTGTCATTCTTCATCGGGGAATCACATTTCATGGTCCTAACCTTGGTAATGATTTATCTATCAGCTATAAACAGTCCTGTCTGAGTTCACAAACCACAGATTCGAGTCCGAGCATTCGGTAGGGTTGCCATCTATACCTCATTGACGCTCTCTTTTGGATCTTAGTATGGGAGTTCCAGACCTGGCGACCCGATCCACTGTTTTCTCCGTAATATATGCTGTCATCTTACTTCATCCACATATCCAGCTGATTTAATGTATTGCTCTGTATTCATGTCATTCCTCATTATGCCACAAAAAATATAAAATATAAAATATATAAAATATATAAAATATAAAATAAATAAAATAAATAAAATAAATAAAATATAACTTGGGCCAGGATTGAACTGTTGACTGGTATAGTGTTGTATAACGTGTACATCAGTTAGATTTTTCTTGATAAGGATATTTAATATTATGCATTCCAGTTACAACCTCAAACATTTGCAATATAAACCATAAAAACTACTCTTTGAATAGAGAAATTGAAAGAGTGTTTTTTTTGTCACCTTGATTGTTCCTCTTACTTTGATTGCATTTTTGTGATAGTGTGTTGATTAGCGTATTACAGATATTTACTAACGTTAACCAACTAACCAATGCTTCTGGTTTATAACAGGCAGACTGCACCAACTCTGCCATTATTAACATCTCGCCTTCTCAGTCCAGCCTCCTTGTACGTATGTAAGACCTCATCATCCCTTTCACCATCTCTTTCCATTTCTCTGTATCCTTCATTTCATCCTGACTAGAGCTCTTTGAGTGATTTTATATATATATATATATATACATTTGTCTCCTTTAGTGTTTGTGGCCTATGGAATGTGCACCTTTATTCAGTTAGAACGACTGTGGTAAATTCATACAAATGCGATGTGGCTTGTGTTTTGTGTTGCATGTTCTTTGTGTATGATAATGCAAGGACAAGTGACATCACCCAGACCAAGGACCGACATTTACATGAAGATTTATAAAAAAAAAGAAAAAAAGAGAAAAAAAAATATGAAAAAGACGTCAAGATGCATTTTTTAAAAACATGTCTCAATTTCACTAAGCAATTTTCCTTCTCAGTTAATTTTATTTTATTTTAAGAATATGTTTTTTTCTTCTTCGAAACAATGAAATTTCAGTACTGAAAAATTCTGTATTTTCTGTCCTTCATTTTGTTTCAAACCTGCAAGCCTTTCTTTCTTTTTTGGAAAACAAAACAAGATATTTTTGTTATTTTTTACCTTTCTTCAAAATATATTTTTGTGTGTGTTCCACACAGTGTTGTTTTTAGTGTTAATTATACTATATATTAATATAAGTTTTATATTAAATGAAATTTTAGTTTTAAGTTTTTGTATTTTTGTGTACTTTTGTCATTTTTCATTATTATTATTAATGTAGTCAATATAGAAATGGTTTACTGAGTCTGATGTGGAAAAAGCTGACTGGCCTACACAAAGTCCAGACCTGAACTTGTTTTGGGATGAATTGGAACGCCAACTTCGAGTCAATCCCCATTGCCCAATATCAGCGCTTAACCTCCCTTATGCTCTTGTATCTGAATGAGAGTAAATCCCTGCAGCCATGTTACAACATCTTTCATATCCCACAACATCCCCACAGCATGTTCCAGGCCTTTTCAGAAGATTGAAAACTGTTATAGCTGCAACTCCCTGTCAATACCCATGGTTTTGAAATTAAATGCTCAAATAAGGGTGTGGTGTTTGGTCCACATACTTCTGACCATAAAGAGTTTTTCCAAATGATATTTTCACCAGTCTAATTATGTTAACGGATGCCTCTAATCAGGCAGATATATGCTAGTAGGAGACCTAGCTGGTTTGTGAGTGCTTACGCAAATGTTTGTGGAAACTCGAGGAAGGATTTGTGCATGTGACTGACTGTAGGAACTTTGGGTGAGAGACAATTGTTAATTTTTTATTTAATTTTATTTTTTATTTATGAGGCAAAGTTATTTGTCTTTGACTCTGCAAAGTTCTCTTTGTTACGCTTATGACTGGTTGCAGAACACAGTTCCTCCAAGAGAGGAATCCTGTTTTGTGTTAAGATCAAGGAGACTTAATGGATTCAAACTATCCTTCATTTCATTTCTAAAAGAAAAAAAGTCAGGATCGTGAATGAGTGACCAAGAAAAGAGAAGCAAGCATATAGGAGTTGTGTGTATTCTGTCATCTTTTTAGGCCCATTTACTCTTGGATGTCGTACAGGTCTTAGCATGGTCCAATTTGGTCTTGGTCACATGATCTCCACAGATTTAAGGCTTCGGTTCTAGATCTTAGATCAAGCTAGGACTAAGCAGAATGCTTTGATATAACTTTTTGTTTATATCACACTCTAAATTTAGTACTTTCTCCCTTCTCCTGCTAAAACATAGAGGTTTCTTCTTCTTTTTTTTTGCAAACAAAGATATTTATTTTATTAGAAAACATTCAAACCAGATGATCAAAACCCCAAATTTTCTCTCTCACCAGAGCCAAAGTAAATAGGGCTGTTAAAAGATTCCCCCTCATAGCCAAATGTCAAGAACAGAAAGAAAAAGAATAAGTGAAAGGAAGAAAAAGAGAGAGAGATGAAAATGTGTATTCAATCAGTTTTAAATTACATTTTGTAGATACTTTCTATGAGCCACAGTCCTGTCCTGTTGCTCTCAAGAGGGAGAGAAAAAATATGGAGAGGAGAGAAATGTTCATACATTTTTTTTTCTCATTGTAATTTTAATGAGATGTGCTTCATTATTTTGAGGTCTTTTGATTCACAGATTTTTAAACTGGGGTCTAGAATCCACAGGAGGGTGCTAGAAGGGCAGTACAAAAAATTATTTTACAAAGTTTTACAAAATGATTTTTTTGGGCTGTTAAAACAAACAAAAAAAACTTTATTAAATATGTTTAATACAATATATATATATATATATATATATATATATATAGTGCGTGGAAAAAAATACACTTTCAGCTTAATACAAAGTATATATTTTCCAGATAATATTTAAATAATTTGCTTAATATTCTTTTCTTTGCATAATGCATACTACAATATTACAGTGCCTTTTTTTTTTTTTTTTACATGAACTGTATAATTGCCTTGGGGGGTCTCACACAAAGGATCATCATATTTTGAAATCTTTGTCATCCAAAAAAAAACAAAAAACAAAACCCTGATAAAACCCTAATAATTATCTAATTATTTCAAATTTAGTTTGGCCTAAAGCTGGGCCATACCTATTCTATTCTATTCGATTCGATTCGATTCTATTCTATTCTATTCTATTCTATTCTATGCTTTGTGAGAACTGTCATACACACAGGCCTGCACCGTGGTGATGCAGTGTTTACTGAAGTCTTTGCCAAGCCTTCAGACACTCCAGAGGACAAATGGTATTTCAGCAGTTTTGCCAGTCTTAGTACTTGACATCCAAAACGCATCAGTAGTTTTGAGAGGAGAAAAAAAGAAACATGCAGAACTGTGGTTGCTCATAAAATGGAATATTGGTTGGTGGCTTAATTTTCTTCAGACCATGAAACTATGTTGAAGGTTATTTGAAAGAATGCCTTGACTCTGCTGAAATGTGCAGACAGTGAAGCAGTACAGCACACGTCTTAGTGAACACGGGCTGCCCTTGACCAAAATAAATACAGTTATAAATGTATATGTGCATTCAAAAGTTCCTTTAGCTTTTATTCAAAATCCTGGTTGAGAAGGGCAGTACTGGCTTTATGATATTGTATTATTATGGATGATTTTATGCAAAGTGACTTACAATAGAGAAACAATCGACTGTCACAGGGCCAACAATATTTATAATGTATATTTATAGCCAGCTTTATTAGAGAGCTAGACTAGGAACAAGCTAGAGCAGAGGTGAAAAAAAATGTCCCAACTGCTGTGCTGTACACCAGGGCCCACTAGAGAGCCTCAGTAAACTTCCAAGAGGGCTTCAAGATTACTTAAATTGCTTTAAAACTTAACATTTTAAAAGTGTGATCTCTAGAGCTGGAAAAAGTCAAGTAAATGAATAAAATCTTTAAATGCTGTAAGCATTATTGTAATGGATATACATTTCTGTAGTTACGGCAAGCTCTAAAATATTTGATCAGGTGGTATAGATGAAATCTATTGAATATAAAAAAAATTCTTATCCTTAGTCGTTTAAAATAAGCCTTTGAATATTGTTATTGACCCTGGGGGACCTTGGAGTAAAAAAGGTTGTGAATCAGTGCTGTACACTGATGATTTGACAAATTAATTTGTTCCTTCATTGCACTTGTTTATAAAATATTGTTCCATCAACTGTGATGAGACGTTACCATGTGATGTACTGTACATTGCCATCTTTGATATTTACAAGTCAATTGTGGCATTCGCAGTATGCATTTGCATACTGAGTAGGTACTATATTAAATACACTTAAGCATATCTATACAGGTCGACCGGGTAAAACGGCACCAAACTAGCATATTTCAAAAGTACTATATATACTGTATAGTATATGTGCTATATGAATATGTTGACAGCCTCTACTGCACTCCATCACAACATTCATGAAAAATGAAGGACTGAATTGTAAAGTCGTGGATTAAATTTACCTGCTTTAGAACCTACAGGTTTTCCACCAACTCCATGTCACAAATTCCTGAGGTAATTTTGGATATTGTTTATATTTCTGAATGAATCGTCAATCAAGCCACATGGAATGTCTGTACAGTATATTCTAAACATAACTTATGTTAAAAGCCTATTCAGTGCTCAATTGTTACCAACTCTGCTTGGTTATTTTTCATCACTAGTGCACACAAGCCCTTTCAGACCCAAAGCTAACACCACCAGTGCCCTACAGTAACCTTCACCTCAGGAATTGAGAATGTTTGCAACCATTTACCAGGTTTTGCATGAATTAATTTTTGGAGGAGCAGTGAAGTTCACTGTTTTCCCTCAGCCTCTCCGACCACCCTGTTCCAGTACCAGGCCGCCATGGGCATAGCAGCCATTATAAATCCTCAAATTTGTTGAAATTTCTAGGTTTCCCGGGTTTCCCGGTGTCTAGAATCATATCACTCCCATATTATCTTTTCATCTGTATAACATGAGGGTGTGTTTAACTTTTTGCGAGCATGCACGCACATATACACCCAGGTTTATATGGTGCGGTCTTCTCTGGTGCAGTGCTTATTTCAATAATACCCCTAAGCCCTAAAACCTTTGGGCAAAGTATAGAATAACTAAACGCATACATCTGGTGCACTCAAAGTGTCTGGGTGACCAGACGCACATGCACACTCTCATTACACATCATTTCAGAAACAACATTTTTCCTTACTCGCAAGCACACAGATTAACACAAACTTGCACACAAACACCTAAGGCGCACACACATAGTAGCTAGTATGGAAACATGGCTGTCACGGCGTCCTTAGGCTCCGCTTTAATAGCTCTGTCAGACAAAGAGAGGAGACATGTGGCAGTACTATGAAAAGCACTATTCAGGGCCGGTTAGACTGCCACACAGTCAGGCCAACTCAGCTTAAGTGATTCTGAAAGCAACTTCACAATACTTTGCAAATCCTTGCCGCACACCCAGTCCCATTTACCCCGTGTGCCGCCTTTGGGTATTAATTAATCATTAATTTCTCTCCTTTATTATATTGGCTTGAGGAAGTTCTTGTTTAAATCTGAGTTTACAAAATCTCTGACCTGATACCAACATGACTCTAACTTCTAGAGCTTTCAAGTTACATCCACTTGTCTAAATGTTTTATGTCTTTTGTAAATGATTGGATTTACTGTTTTTAAAACTTTTTGACTGTAATGTTGTGAGCTTTATGACTTTTCAATCTGTGTCCAGACTGCCCACCAAACTTGGCACTGTCTTTTAACCTGTTCTGACTTATTGTCATGCACATGTGCTGCACACATCTCTTCTGTAAGTGCTTACCTCCTAATACAATTACTATTTAGAAAAACTACTGTTTTTGCTGGTTCTTTCATTGGTTTACAGAGTCTCATATTTTCTGAGCAATTCTGGAGCTTTATATTGTGACACTTTTTCTACGTTATTAAGTATAGTGCACTACCATTTTAAAAGTTTGGGGTCAGTACTTTTTTTTTTTGAAAGAAATTAACATGTTAATTCAACAAGAATGTTTATAAAGTTGATCATAAGTGATAGTAAAGACATGTATAATGTTACAAATTATACTTATTTCAAATGAATGTTATTTTGAACTTTCTGTGCAATAAAAAAAAACATAAAAATGTATCCACAAAAATATTATATAACATTGATAATAAGGAGAAATGTTTTTGACCACCAGGTCAGCATATTAAAATGATTTCTGAAGGATCATGAGACACTGAAGACTGAAAAATTCAGACACTGAAGGCTGAAAATTCTGCTTTGTCATCACAGAAATAAATTACATTTTAAAATGTATTTAAATAGGAAAGAGTTATTTTAAATTGTAATAATATTACAGAATAATACTGTTTTACTCTATTTTTGATCAAATAATTGCAGTCTTGGTGACCATAAAAGACCATCTCAAAAGCATTAAATAAAACTTACGGACCCCAAACTTTTGAATGGTAAGGCACACTGTTTTATTTCTTTTTATTTATTATTTCAGATTATGAAAAACTTACGAAAAAGACTTCATTCAAAGTTTGTTTTGATTGATTGATTGATTGATTTATTGGCCTTTTCCAAAATAAACTATATTCAAACTCATGTCGTCCACATATAACTCACTATTCAATGTGTCAGAGATGTGCACTACCCGCTATAAGCCATAGCTCCGATATCAATTTTAGAGAGAATTTATTTTCATATTTGTTCATTTTTCTCCTGTTGAGTTTACTGTGCAGCACACATGTACACAATTTGTTGGTCTGTGACCATAAACAGGATATTGCCCTCACATACAGACATAAACACACAGTCTTGTACTGTAGAGACACACTCTGACACGAGTACACACGTATTCCTTGGCACAGCAGTGGCATGAAGGCCACTTAAACAACACTGTCGGCCCCCTGCCTGGCCACCAAAACGCACGCCACACCACCACACTCCTTAACAACTAAGACGAGGGAAAAAATCCAGCAGAGCCTGGCATTACTCCATCACTACTGTTTTTCCTCTCTCATCGTAAAAGTTAAAAGAACAATGGAAGCGAAACTTGAAGTCTCTCCTCGTAGTGAGTCGAAACTGGCCTTCTGGAAGAGAGAGCAGTGTGCGTGGGTCCAGCCAGCGGAGGGATCTCGTCTCTCTTAAACGTACTGTGTTTTATGCCATGGTGGCTTAGTCTGTCTTTCATCCATCTGTCAAACACACACACGCACATATTTGGACAATACTTGCTTCATAATCAGACTACACTTTTGTTTCTTGTTTTGAAGCAGTGTCACTTGCAGAGGGTGTTTCACATTAACAACACTCTTGTCTTTTGCTTGGATGGGAATATGGTGCTGGCTGAGGTGGGAACTGCCTGATTTGTACCTTTTTGAAAAATTCCCACACTTTCCACATGGAATGAGTGAGCGTTGGCGAGGCTTACTGTATCAGTGGCGATTAGCACATCAAATTGCAGCAGAACATCAGCACTCCTGAACCATACCCATGAAAGTACCAGGAAAATGACAATTTGAAAGCTTTCTTTCTAGTTTCAGTTGATATGCTTACTCTTACGGGCATTACAGCAGAGGGATGATTTATCAGTCACTTATGGAAAAAATTAAGTTATGGAAAGGGTTGTTTCCACTGGTCGTTTGGTCTGTGGATGGTGTCACTGTCACTCGTGCATGTGTCTGTCTGCTTAAAATGTTTTGACACTTGAGCGTATTTTCTCTCGACTTTTATTCCTCATACTTTGCTTTTTCTAACCTTGTCTTCTTGTGTTGAATTTGTTGGACATGCTTTAGTTGGGGCGATGGGTAAGTTGAGGCTTTTATTGCTTTCAGTCTAGATATTTTTGTTCATGAAATGATTGATTTAATTAAGCAGGGGTCTAATGAATGAGGGATGTGGTGTCAGATATGTACTGACCTTCCTTGCTTTAAATGTTTCTTTCCATTCTCTTGTTTTCTTGCTCTGTGTCTACAGCAGGATGAATTTATGGACTGGTGGAGCAAGTTTTATGCCTCCACGGGTGAGAGAAACAAGTGTGGCAGTTATCTAGAGAAGGGCTTCGATACGCTGCAGGTAAGGCATTGAACTAATGTTGTCCCTTATGTTGTTCCAAATGTGCATGACTGACTTTATTTCATACAAAAGGTACATAAGCACAAAAGATATTTTGAAGAACTGTTTTTGTCCATACGAAATCAGTGGGGTCCAAAACAACATTAGACCCCAAAAACCACTAAAGGGCTTTTCACGTGGCGCTTAACCCTGGGTTATCTCCATTCTAAACCCCACTTTTAACCTAGGTTAAAGTTTCACTCTTGTAATTCATAAACAGGGTTAACAATGCTTTGTACTAGTGCTGTCATAATTAGCACATTAACGCATGTGATTATTTTTTTCAGTTTAACTTGTTAAGAAAAAAATATTTAATGCAATTAACCCAGGGGCGGTCTCTTTTTTTCTTGACAAGATTTGTGTTTATTTAGACGCAGAGCATCTTTACGACCACATCAAATGGGAGATTTTTCAGATGTGCACTCCAACTTCACCTCAGTGCCAGGCGCTAATCAAAATAGTGCGAAAAAGGTACAGGTGACGAGGGAGCTTCAGAAGATAAAACAGTGAACCGTGTGGTCAGATGAGATGTTGTCAGGCCATATGTCAGTAAAAACTAATTTTCCTGTCTTGTCAGCCATAATACTGTGCTTGTAGCACATGCTCTTCAACTGCATGCACAAATGCAGTGGCGCACACTGTATATAATTTCATATTAAAGCACAAATGAAACTATGAGCATGCAGTGTTATTGTTATGTCGTCAGTTAAGTCATGAAGTTACCAAAAAGGCGATTAAAGCTGCCTTAAAACTGTGTGTGTATGTAAGTATTTATATATGCGTCACATTTAAGAACATGTCTTTGAAATGCAATGGTTTTCAGAACTTTCCTGGAGCACCCAGCACTATCTTCCTCATCTAACACACCTGATTTAACTCGTCAGCTCATTAGTAGAGACTTTAAGACCTGAAGTGAGTCAGAAAAGGTAAAGAGTTGTGAGAAAATACGATACGTGTCAGATCTGCATGATGTTCAGCAGCGGCAGCTCATAAAGCAGCCAAAATAACCAAAGAACAAAAGAAAAAAGAGGAAATCAGTAACTATTGTAGATTTAAGGATTCATCTATATTTAATTTAAAATGTAGCGTTTGATAACTATTTAGTTTCTGTATATTTCCTACTAGCTGAAGGGCAGCTAAATATGACATTTATTATAATGGGTTTATGTGAAGATTGTTTTAAGTTGACTTATTACACGGCTCTGTGAAATACTTGATTCTGATTGGTCAGTCGCAACATTCCGAGGTATGTTATCCCTCGATAACAACTGGTAAAAACTAATAACACGGGCTCATCAGGGTAACCGAAGTCTGCGCTATACTCTTGCAAGGAAGAGTTTTTTTTTTCATGGAAGCTTTGCGTTTGGTTAGCTAATAAAATATTAAACTTCAATTCAGTATTATGTGTACACTTATTTAATTATGTCATCCTGGTATCGCGGACTTGCTCTCTCATTTCATACAAATGCAGCTGCTGCCATTTTGCGACGATTTTTGTACACTGTAATGGATTATAAGATATAACAAACAAACTGGTAAGATAAATCAATATATTTTATCACCTTAATTATTTTTGTGGTAAAATGTTGTGTAATAAGTGGTTTGACTGCACCGTATCCCTCAAATGCCCGTCTAGTTTGAACTTGCCACTTGTTCGCAACTGCTGTGTTCACGGAAGCTTTGCGTTCAAATATTTCGACTCAAATCAATACTTTGTGTCTAATTATTTACTTATGTGGCAAGTAGCCATGTAATAAGCGGGATAATGTACATCCTCCGCTTCGCTCCGGGGTCTTGATCACCCTGTCGGGGGTTATTCTGCGATAACAACCGGCTGGATGTACATTATCCCTTGCTTAAATTAGAAGCTGTTATTTTTTCAAGTGTAATAAATGTTCAATTTGATAGCTCTCAATTATACTTTAATGTTGAATGACTATAGTCAATGGTTAAATATTAGAAAAATAAATTTCCTTGGTATCAGTGATAAAATAGTCAGTCATAAAAAAGATGGCATTAAACAAATATTAAAAAAAATACTATCTTTATGTTGTTTCTACATTAATTTAAAGATTGAATGTGAAATTATTGAAATATAAAAGTATATTTAAAAACGTTAATGTTAGGTGGGATTAATCGTGATTAATTGCGATTAATTGGTTAATTTTTTTAAATTTGTTTGACAGCACTACTTTTTACCCAAGGTTTTGAAAGCCTACTCCAAAGCAGGGTTAGCTTTTGTGCCATTAACCTCACATTGCAGTGCCAAATTTGTGTAGTGTGAAACAATGCGGTGTTAGAAAGTTATGGCTAGATGTTTACTAACAGATACCCAATCGCGTGGACAGTCACAGAAGCATGAACATGAACATGAACATGATGACAGAACATTTTGGGGAAGAACTATCCCTTTAAAGAATCCAGTACATGGTTTCCTACACAACTTGAGAACAAAAAGTTCTCTGTGGAACTCGAAGGAATAATTAACCAAAAACTAACATTTTGTCATTGTTTTTTCATCCTCATGTCTCCCAAATGGCACGTCTAAAACAATCCCAGCAGTATGAAATCTGTACATGGAGATTAACAGCAAAAGTTAATAGTAACTATAGTGACATTATCAGTGCCCAAAGAAAACCAAACATAAAGATGCCAGAACGTCAAAGTCCTGTGGTCTCTCTCTGGAGTGCGCATGCCTACTTTCAAAAGCTCACTCCAGTCCACTCCAGCCCACTTCCCACAAGCTTATTCATTTATAATAGAGCCTGTGGCTGCCAGATTCCCAACTTTTCCGATGAATTCATGTCGGGGTTGTCGCAGGGGGATAACCAAGTGCAGACAAGGGCTCCGTTACTGACGTCATCGGCCCATTTTCCCCCAGCCCACACCTCCCTATCATCCCTCGATCTCTGGCCGGATTGTCAGCGATCTCCCCTGTCACCACATTCTCTCTCTTCTTGCCTTAGCCACTCTTTCCAACCTTTCCGATCTAAACGTGCCAGTTAGTCATCTGACAGGGGCTCAGGTCTCAGGGCTACCTGCGAGGCCCGGGGTTCGATTGTTGGCTGTCACTGTGTGAGAGTGTCCCACGCACCGGGAGGAGCAGCAGACAGAAACACTTTCCCTAAAACTGCTGAGATGAGCTGTTATTTTGGGCTAATGGTGCCTGAGGGAGAGATTGAAGGCAGGGAAAGAGCAAAAGAGACTGGGAGAGGGTTTCATGTGCTGTGTCACACGTTCAGGGACCAGGCCTGAGTGAGTCAACTAGAAAAACAGAGCGACTCGCTTATGAGGATTCCTTCATACTTTTGTCACTAAGTTGTCTCCTAGGTGGCCGTTTGGTTGGAGAGTTGTGCGCCGCTAGTTAAAAGTTGTGTAATGTCATGGCCAAGCATATTTTCCTCAGGCACATATCGTTTTTGTGCATTTTTATTGCCATTTTTAAACATTCTCATAATCAGGAATTTCCAGATCTTTTTGTATTAATGATGCATTTGAGGATGTTTGGCTTGCGCCTGAAATGTTAAAACCACAATTAAAGATCTCAGAGTCCAAGATTCTAAAGAAAACTGCTTTGGCAAGACAAACAATGAATGTCTTGTGCATAGTATGTGTCCTTTCAGCCCTTTCAGTTGATTAGAGCACATTTTTAAAGAACTAGATCTGCATCCAAATCATATATCACACACTCTCCTGTGCTTCCTTTCTCAGGTGTATGACAGGGAACTGGAGAAGGTTGAAGGCTTCGAGCAGTTGGCTGATTTCTGTCAAACGTTTAAACTTCACCGTGGAAGAGTCCAGAATGAGAGTGAAGACCCTTCTGTTGTTGGAGAGTTCAAGGTAGGGTCACTCATAACCTCTCAGCTACTATCAACTTCTATCTCGTGCGCTCTCATTCAGTCTCCAAGAGGAAAAACAGACGGCGCCAGATGAAGCAATGGATGGGTGTCGTTGCTTATTATCTAAGCTAATGAAAAGTCATTTGAATTGGGCCTTCTATTTAAACTGATCACATACATGCCTGGCAGGGTCAGTCTGTACTTTGTCAAATTTACCATTGAACAATTTGTTCATTTAGAGTGTTCTGCAACAGATCCAGAGTCTTATGCCATTCTTTTGGTAAACTGTCTAGATCTCCAAAAATGTGCCTCCTTGCCTTCTTTACAGAAACGGTCTCTTAAAAATAGAGGTTCTTTAATGGTTCTGGGACCTTTAGGTCACCCTAAGCCTCTTACCAAGAACCATGTTATGTTTTATAGGGTAGTTGAGGTTGCTATACGGTTTTATTGGAGATTAAAATGTTTCTGAAGATACATTGTGGGTTATTCAAGTCATTGTACTAGTTTCTGGGTACATTGTGCATAGAGGCTGAATATTTCCGGAAACTTTCCAGGATTTTTGGAACCTTTTGAAAAGTTCCCGCAAATTTACTGGAAATTTGCTGCCCCTTTGCAACCTACTTCTGTGTTTTTTAAAGCATCAGTACATTGATGTTTTCGAAAGAATTAAGGAATAAAAGGTTTTTTAAATGTAAAATAAAAAAGACAGAAATAAAAAAGAGCATTAAAATTGTCATAATTTTGTCAACATTTTGTCATTATTATCTTTCTTCTGTGGAACTCATGGTGATGTTTTGAAGCATTTCAGACCAATGTTGTTTTAGTATTGTTTATATGCTATTGTACTATTTAGGGATATTTTGAATAGCTTTTATTTATTTATTTATTTATTTATGGTTTTAGTAATTTTGTTATGTGATTCTGTCAGCTTTATTGTTATTATTATTATTATTATTATTATTATTTTAATATTTATCTATTTAGATAATGAAAGAATAACAGTAATATTGGAACTTTTAAAAAATACCCTCCTATGGCATCCGGCATATGGCTGTAAAACCCATTTCAGTTCTAATTGGAACCTTTAATTTGAAGAGTCTAGATACTTTTTCCTGGTTTATTTGAATTAAAACTGGTTTAGTTCTAGTAGGATTTGAGGGAACTAAATTCGAGGGATTAAAGTGTAATTTGAGGTTTGTCTGGAGGCCCCAGACAGCAGGTCTCCAGAAAAAAGTAAAACTAAATTGCACCATGAGTTACACTGACTCCTGTCCTTCTTCAGGGCTCATTTAAGATCTATCCATTGCCTGACGATCCCTCAATGCCCGTACCCCCACGCCAGTTCCGCAAACTTCCCCCAAACGGTATAGAAGAGTGCCTGGTACGTGTCTATATCATCCAGGCCTATGGCTTACAGCCCAAAGATGCCAATGGCAAGGTAGGTACAACACAGCCAAAACAAGGCAAAAAAGGAAAGGAACATGCTAACAAGCAATTTGCTTTTCAGTGACCTTGTATACATCTCTGGGTTGGGAGAGGTTGTTACAACAGCCCTTGTATTTTCACTAGACGCATTCACAAATCTTTAGTTTTTTTCATCAGCCAGACGAGTCCTTTGCGAAGCCTCTGCAGTGCCAGAGTCATAAGAGAGCTGAGAAATTGTTTTATGAAAACATGGAGCCACCCTTTTACCCACAACCATAAACTCGCAATCACTGCCCGAGACCTGGCCAACACGCCACCACCGCTGGCCCTGCGTCAGATGGGCTTTCCCTTCATTAGTTGCGAATATTCTAAGATGACGTCCTTTCATCACCTACTCAGGCCAGGAGTTATGATATGGAACATTTCACACATGTACTCGCTGCCTATGAAACACACACTGATCACAGAGATTTGATGCTTTTTTCCACCGAAAGAGCAAAGAGCAGTTGTTTTAAGTTTCAAAAGGAGGGCATGCTGTTTTGGATATTGTCGCTTATGGTATATATGTGCGAGTGTGTGGCTATGTTAACACATACTAACAAGCACTCCTTGTTCTTTCGTAGTGTGACCCCTATGTTAAGATCACACTTGGCAAGAAATCAGTCGATGACCACGACAATTACATACCCTGTACTTTGGACCCTGTCTTTGGAAAGTAAGTTTTTTTTCTTTTTCTTTCTGTCCCTGAACATAGTCTCTCTCTCTCTCTCTCTCTAACACACACACACAGATATAGAAACACGTCATTCCAAGGATCAATTATACCAGCAGGGGTCGCCACACTCATAAAAATGATGATGTCCCTAATTCTAAGAGTCTTGGTGTTGAATATGTGCTAGAGGGAAGGTTTGATCTGGTGGCTAAATGATGACTGAATAGCAAGGGTGTGCTTTTGAAAACATTTAAGTGAAATAATTTCTGACCAAAGGAAGTATTCAGAGATTGAAATGCATATCTTTTGATTCTCATTTAGGATGTTTGAGCTGACTTGCTCTCTGCCTCTTGAGAAGGACCTAAAGATCACGCTGTATGATTATGACATGGTCACTAAAGATGAGAAAATTGGAGAGACTGTCATTGATTTGGAGAATCGCTTCTTGTCGTGTCATGGTGCTCGCTGCAGCCTGCCACAGTCCTACTGTTTGTAAGAAATGCCTCTGTCTCTCATTATATTTCCTTCCACCTACCAGGTATTATTAGGAGTCATTATGAAAACAGTAAATAACAGGAAATGAATGTTGTAAAACTCAATCCAATGTCATATTGTGATTCTCAAATCGAAAAAAATCTCAAACCAGTAAAGACCAGCAAACCACCTTAAACTGGCTTAAGCATTGTCATATTATAATGCTGAAACGCATCCTTGTTTAAAAAACAACTATGCCTAAGGGAAAGTGCTTGTCTTAGCTGGTTTAAGATGAATTTGCTGGTCCTTAACCCTAAGTTTTGACTAACTGTTGGCAATCCCAGTAACTGTGATAATACATTCTGCTCAGTTACACACTGCTACCCTCTTTTTGTCACTGTGCCGACTGCAGGTCTGGAGTTAACCAGTGGCGAGATCAGCTGAAACCATCCCAGTTACTTCATCGTCTGTGCGAGAAGCAAAACTACAAACTGCCAGTCTACAAGCAGGATAGAATCTACTTCAGAGGACAGGAGTACACAGTTGCAGACCTTGGTCAGTGTCCTAAACACACACCCCAACCAGACCTAGTTTCCTACCACTGAACTTAATGCTCATGATATTTGATCATTAATTCTGCGATTGTCGTTACCAAGAGTGGCTTCTTAGAGAACTGTGTATTACGTGAGTGCATACGTATGAATAAACACAGGCATCACGACCTATCAAACCCACGGCTGGACAGTGAAAAAAGAAAGTGGAAGTCTTTTCTTTGGAGCTGCTGAAAGCATTAGTCACGAGTAAGAGCTAATCAAAGCACCAGCCTGACTCAATCACATCTTCCGTCATTAAAAAAAAAGCAAGTCGAGCACGAGATCGGCTGCGGTTCTGTGAAAACACTGACAGAAAAAGAATAATGATATATGTCTCGGCTTGTGCCATACATCATATCTTTGTGTGTGGGATCACAGAGCTGTCGGGGAGGCCGCTTGGCTGTTCTTGCTCGCCGCTATGAACGGAAAGAATGAGTTGTCCCTCTGTGTGAAGAAAAACAAGTGTGATATTGTAAAGACGACAGACCTGTGTAAACATACAGCACCTCTGACATAATCATTCATTCACAGCAAATATATCACTCCTTGCCACAGCAACCTGACGTCCCCTCCTGTTTTAAAGTGTGCCCCTGGGAAGATAATGCTAACTAATGCTAGTTCACCATTAGGTGTGTATTTTGTTGATCTTACTTGTGCGTAACCTCCATCAGATCCTCCCAGCACTTCTGGTTTGACCTCCAAGCCCTTCAAGTTCCACGGTGCCATTCAACCAGTCAGATGTCACACATGGCCTACAGAAAGCCAAGCTCTCCAGCCATTTTCCCTTCCATGAAGCTTTGGGACGAGGTCGGCTTCAGATTTATGGTGAACTAGCATGCAAGCATGTTCAGCCAAGGTCAACAGTGTGGCAGGCTCCTCAGCCTCCTGCTCCCATGTCTCGACGCGGAGGAATACTACATCTCTTTGTTTGGCCCATGTAACCGCTGCAACCCGCGCGTCAAAGCAATTATCAGGTGGCCTTTTCGGGCATCCAACTTCATGGCAGAAAGGTCTTCCTCCACTTCAATCTTTTTCCTCTTTTCTCCACACTCTAACCATGTTTCCCTCAGGGACGTGACACAGGGTTTCAAACCATAAACTGAACAGTGGGCGTTTATTTTTTTTCTTCCCTCGCTCTCTCTTTTTGCTTTTTGACAAGGGGAAACTCTCTTCTTAGATCAACAGCAATGAAATCAACGCATCATCTGAGGAACAGGGAAAGATAAACATTTCCGACTATTTAACTGGAATGCTTCATGAATGTTGGCTTTTTTTCTGCTCTCGGATATGGCTTAATAAAACTTGATGCCCAAATGTTCTTCATATCAATTCAGAGGTTACATAGTGGTTCCATTTCACGGTTTTAACGTAAAATAACATTATGATGAATCTTCCTAACTGTTAACCAATTTTAAGCTAAAAAAAAACAAAAGTTCGAAGTGCCTCAACATTTTGGCTTTTTTATGTCAGTATGAGTTTAAACTACAGTGACCTTATTGTTGACTATATTTGGCCCTCAGATGAAGGAAAACCTCTTAACGCTCACCTGGGACCAGTGATGGAGCGTCTAGCTCTGTTGGTGTTGAAGAGGCAGTATCTGGTGCCTGAACATGTAGAGACGCGACCCCTCTACAGCCCTCTACAGCCAGATATAGAACAGGTTACATAGTCACATATTCCTATTCCCAAAATTAAATTTTTTAAAATTATTTTATAATATTTTATATTTATTATTTACATGTATTTTTTTTGTAGATTTTATGCAAGATTTTAATTTAAAATGCTATAGAGTTTATTTGATCTTATTGTAAATATGCAATGTATTTTATTCTATACTAAATTGAAAGAGTAAAATTTATTTCGTTTTTCATATTATACTTTATTTTAATTATGTAGTGCATTTTATTTTATACTATACTATTTAAATTTTTTTATACAATTTTATTTTATTATTTCATTTTTTGCAAAATCTATTATCTCATATAGCTTTCACTATGCTTTTCTCATGTTTTTCATGACATGCCTTGTCACTCTTTTATTACCAAAACCCAGGGGCGCATGCAGATGTGGGTGGACATTTTCCCGAAATCTTTAGGCCCACCAGGACCTCCATTCAACATCACGCCACGCAAAGCTAAAAAGTAAGAACATTTCCTTGGTTTAATATCTGTCAATTTTGTTTTCAAAACACATCTAGAAGCATAACGTATCCATGTTTTCTGCTCCCATAGGTTCTTCCTGCGCTGTGTTATATGGAACACAAGAGATGTTATCTTGGATGATGTCAGTGTTACTGGGGAGAAGATGAGTGACATTTATGTGAAAGGGTACATCTGGGTGTCATAAATGGCTTGTTGGGTTTGTGTGTATGAGCTCTGGTTAAATGAAGTTGCTCTTGTTTCCCATGTCATGGGCCTGTTGCTTGTCTGTTGCCACTGTGACCAATAGTAACAACGGCTTGCAAAAATTATCGATCAGTAGCAAAAAAACACAGTTGCAAGGCAACCATAGACCCAAGCTGTAGGTCAATTACAGCTAAGCAGCATTGTCTTCTAATGTGTTGGAAATGATGTGTCGGGTAATTGTGAATGTTATTTTTTCAATCCTAGCTGGATGCACGGCCACGAAGAGAACAAGCAGAAAACAGATGTGCACTATCGATCACTGGGTGGTGAGGGCAACTTTAACTGGCGTTTCTTCTTCCCCTTCCACTATTTACCTGCAGAACAGCTCTGCACCATTGATAAGAAGGTGAGACGTAATCTGCATTTGTAAATTAAGTGGAGACATTTGAGAAAGACATGAAGGAAAACTCAAAATGAAAAAACTCTGAACTGTTGATAAGAAGGCGCGACATAATATACATTTTTGAGTTTAGTGGAAATATGTCAATTGTCAATTGAAAAAGACATAAAAAGAGAATTCAAACCGGGTTTGTTTAGTGGTTAGCTAGTGATGCTAGGCCTGTCGACATTTATATCCACACTCTGCACTTCAGCTATGTTGCTGAAACGAAAATCTCAGATTGATTGAATCTGAATAGGTGATGCGAATAGATCATCCTGCATGATTTGAAAGGTATCACTGCAGTTGGCAGGTGTTTAATGCAATGTTTCAAACCCAGATATGTTGCAGGCTGCATCTGGCACGCTTCCACTTACCGAACGTGGTACATGAACATCTTGTAACTGCAAGACAGTCCAGACTTCATCCAAGCAATCTCAGGGAAAACAGTTGTGATGGACAAGGCACTTAAAGTGAGGTTTTGGCAGGCAAGAGATCAGTTATGGTAAGATTGAAGATAGCGGTTCCACCCATTAAATTGAGAGCAGCCCGCAACAGCTGTCAAAAGATATATCCACTTTGGCTGAAGTTTGCTGGACGCAACACACAATAGAACCGATACATAGCGAAACAGATTCTCTTGCATGAAACACGGCCCTCTGTGATAAATTAGAAGTGAGTTCTTGTTTGCAGTGTTTGTTTTGATGGAGCTGTATGCGGTTGTCAGGCAGGATGTGCAGACCGCGCAGCCTGTTTACCGGTGAACGGCAGCAGTGCGGCTCTGTCAAGCGTGAGTTCATTATCCTCACCGTGATTGTCCGCACATCCATCACGGGTACAGTACGGTGGGAATGCTGTCACGCAGATGGAATCCTGTCTGGCGGTGGGGTGCAGAATCAGGGCTGTTGTGGGAGTCGCTAACACTCTTTTCTGACTGGAACGTTTCTGTTGCTCTTGGTGGCTCTCACTCTCCCTCTGACTCTCACCCTCTTTCTAATTCTGCTTCACACATTCACGCTATCTTTTCCTCACTCTGTCTTTCTCAGTCGCTGTCTTGGTCTGTCAGTTTATTTCTGCCTCTCTGTTTCTCCTAGAGGTGGTGTAGCTCATTTGTAGGGCTGGGTACTAATAGGTTGTTGGGTTTAATTTCACAAGCAAGGCGCTTAGTAGTGATGCACACTATATCGATTTTTGACTGTTATTTGAGATTATTGAATTTATTTAATTGTTAATGCTCATTTCCACTTTTTTATATTTAGATTACCTTTGCCATCATCTAAAGCTAATTTAATCTTTAATTCATTAATAATTAAAAACTGTTAAATGTAATATTTAACAAATATCAAAATGAATATCCATTTTTCATACTGTACATGTTGTGTAAGTTCTCTTTTAGTGTTTAAAATTGTTGATTTATATTTGTTTTATATTTAATTTTTTAGACTAAATGGTGTAGAACTTTAATATCAACTGTTTATCAGGTTAGTATTATAGTTTGTTTTTCTTTTCTTTTTTTTCGGAATTGCTCAGTATTGGATATTTATTTGTACAAGCTCATTTACCATATTTTTACATTTGGATTACCTTTTCCATCATCTAATGTGCACTTAAAATTAATATTTAAAGCACTAATAATTGAATAACACTGTAAAGTTACCATATCTTTTTTTATCTTATTAAACATGATAATGTTTTGATGCTTTAATTCACTTGTAGCAAATATAAATTTAAAATGGTTTATTTTGTTTTATTTTAAATTTATTTAAACATAATATTATAATAATGTAAATAACATATTTTGAAAATATACTTTCATATCTGCCATATGTATATATTATCAGCTCTAACATGAAAATAATTATTGACTCGTCACTATCAGCGAGAATGGTAATATTGTGCATCTCTAGTACTTAGCCCGGGTTGCTTAAAATAATATTTAATAATTAGGCTTACTCAACAGCTTTTGGTGCATAATGTTGATTACAACAGAAAACTTTTCACAGTTAAAGTAAAACACTTACAGTGAAATAAACAGTTACACTTGCATAGGCAAAATGACAAATTAATAAGTAGTTCTGTTTGTACCTCTGTCAACTTGTTTCAACATGTTTCTTTCTCTGCAGGAGCATTTTTGGAGTCTGGATAAAGTTGAAACAAAACTTCCTCCTAAACTTACTATCCAGATCTGGGACAACGACAAGTTCTCCTTTGATGATTTCCTTGGTAAGACCAAAATCCAATAATCGTCCCTCGTGCCAGATCACTCCTCAGCTCTCTTCCACAGCTTCACCAACCTCAGCAAATTCAGTCGTGTTAAACTTGTAAAGCACCACAAAGCTGTTTTTCAAGCATATTTCTCAGCCTTGACATGACAGAAGAGAAATGTTCTGTGGAACTGGACAACACTGATAGGACTATGTGTGTGGTTTATTGTCATTAACCTATACCACTGTCTATATGGATATGTGCGTACAGGGAGATGGTTACCAAAACCTGAACCTCCTTAACTTGTGTGAGATTACCCACCGCATGGTTGTGTAGCGTGACTGTCAGCATAAATACACTTAACAATAATAACGCAAATACATAATTCAGACCACATGAGCCCTCAATAACATCTTTACTGCTAATGCTATTATTATCAGCTGAACCCAATTTCCAACATGTCAGCACAACTGGAAGAGAAATAAGTTATGACCTGACTTCTTAAAGACTTCTATAAAATACACAGATCTATGTACATTTGTAAAAGAATTAGCATCCGACCACAATGGGGAAACCTCAAAGAAAACGACAGACTGCCAGCAAAGTCTGAAGGTCACAGACTTTTTTGACTGATATTATGAGAAATGATTGCGAAAAACAAGATTAGGGCACTTGCTGACTGTTGCTTCTATTATATTCTTATTTCTACATTTAAATATACTGTATATCTGCTGTTCTAAACTTAGATATTCTCTTTTCTTATATTTAATGTTTCACTGCTGTAGTGTATCATTGTGTGACACATAAATTGTTTAACTTTTTGCTCGGTTCTTCTCTCTCTCTCTTTCTAAGGCTCTTTGGAAATGGATCTGAACCATATGCTGAGTCCAGCAAAGTCTCCAGAGAAGTGTGGTCTTGAGATGCTCTCTCAGTCCCAGGACAAACTGGTGTCTTTGTTTGAGCAGAAGACAGTAAAAGGCTGGTGGCCTTGCATGTGTGACAGAGAAAATGAAAAGATACTTGCAGTAAGAGTTACACACAAACCAGAGTTATTGTTGTGTTGAGAAATTCACCATTTTATTTATTTAGGTTTTGGTTTTTAGTTTCAGTTTTACTTTTTTATTTCATTAGAATTTTTCTGTTAGCATAATTCTAGTTTTCATCTTGCATCACAACATTGTTCTATTTTTCTATGGTGACACATACTACACCTTTTATATGTTTCATAACTAAAATCAAATGGCTGGCATCATATCGATTAGACCCTCTCATATATATTTAGACAGTTATGACACAATATAACATACTCTATGTTTGGGAGGATAATTAAATCAGACTGTCCTGCACTGAATAACAATATTTGAAAACTGAAGTAATTTTCTGTAAAAAAAAATTATTATTTATATTATAATGCACATTTATGGTTTCAGGTTAGTTCTGTTAAATTTTATTGTATTTAAATATTCAGTTAAATATTACATAAGTTAAATAATTCAATCTATTTTTTATAATACTTCTCATATTAAAAATTTAAATTAAATAATATTAATGTCACAGTCATACTACACTGAGGAGCGAGGAGACACAGGAGAATTCGCAGTAAACACAAGGCGCGTTTCCATTACAGATTTGCGCAAAACTTTGGCTATATTTTCTGAATGTCGATAAAAAAGTATTGCGAAATGACGGCATTTCCATTAACCAATGTTATGCGGCTAAAACGTAACCTTTTGCCTCTCGCGATAAGTCATGGCAATGGATTTTGGTGGGATTTTGGCTATATTTATTCAAAGGAGGCTTATGCGTGTATCTTTACAGAAGCAGCACAGAGAGCCGCTTCAGAAACGTGCGTGGCACGGCTTGAATAAACCATAGACTGTATAAAAACATAAACACAAGCATTGAGTGGCCGTAATCAGCTTCAGTGACCGTATCAGAGCCACACTGCACCACAGACGTGTGCAGTGTAAATTGTCTAAGTATTAATGGTAGGGAAAGCCCCTTATACTGGAGCGCGGCCACTTATGAAGTGTTTCTTGGAGGTTATAGTACATTGAAGAATGATCATATGACTTTTTACATACGCCATGTGACCTGTAAATGCGAAAAAGCCGTTTCCATTGCAGTTTTGCGAATTAATCCTTTTTAGCATTCCCTGAAAAACCACCTCATGCGAGCATAAAACCTTTTTTGCGATATATGGCCGTTTTTGTGAAATTGACGCGTTTCCATTAGGCGTATTTTCAATTTGCAATTGCAATTTGCGCAATTTAAAGGGTAATGGAAACGGCCTATAGCCTTTATTCCTTCCAACACGGGGTATACAGGGCAGACAGGAACACATGTAGCACACGATGAACATTCAATACCGGACAAGGGAGAATGGCACAGGCTAGAACTTAAATGGGGCAGATAACGAGGGGCAGACAGGTGAGGAGGATAAACTAATAAGGAGACACACCTGGAAACAGTGAACAATCAAACACACAGGACACCTAGGTAGCAGAGCACATGGGGAGCAAAAACACAACACAGACAGTCCAGAATATTTTTACATATTTTAATCATAAATTTTTCAACTACAAGCCTGTATGTCTCTTTTACATTACAGTTACACTATGCATTTGGCAGATGCATTTATCCAAAGTGACTTACATGGCATTGCAGGTTTACAATTGATCGGTTCATGCATTCCCTGAGAATCGAGCCCATGACCTTGGTTTTGCTGGTGCCATGCTTTACTTTTTGAGCTACAAGAAACTGAGCTGCTCTTTGTCACTCAGGGAAAGGTGGAAATGTCACTGGAAATCGTCTCTGAGCAGGAGCAGGATGAGAGGCCTGCAGGACTCGGCAGAGATGAGCCCAACATGAATCCCCATCTAGGGGCAGACAGGTGAGGAGGATAAACTAATAAGGAGACACACCTGGAAACAGTGAACAATCAAACACACAGGACACCTAGGTAGCAGAGCACATGGGGAGCAAAAACACAACACAGACAGTCCAGAATCCTGACAATTAAACAATTATTAATCATATTTTTACATGTTTTAATCATAAATTTTTCAACTACAAGCCTGTATGTCTCTTTTACATTACAGTTACACTATGCATTTGGCAGATGCATTTATCCAAAGTGACTTACATGGCATTGCAGGTTTACAATTGATCGGTTCATGCATTCCCTGAGAATCGAGCCCATGACCTTGGTTTTGCTGGTGCCATGCTTTACTTTTTGAGCTACAAGAAACTGAGCTGCTCTTTGTCACTCAGGGAAAGGTGGAAATGTCACTGGAAATCGTCTCTGAGCAGGAGCAGGATGAGAGGCCTGCAGGACTCGGCAGAGATGAGCCCAACATGAATCCCCATCTAGATGAGCCACAGTAAGTTAAGCACACTCATCACAGGCATTCCTCTCACCAAATAACAAAAAAATGGCATTTCGTATTAGCCTTTTTATTGGCCCTTAGCTCAAGGTGGATTTAATATATGGTTGCTAATATACTTTCTTTCTCTCTCTCCAGGCGTCCTGAGACCTCATTCTTATGGTTCTCATCCCCATATAAGACGTTTAAGTTCATTGTGTGGAGGAGGTTTAAGTGGCTTATTCTGGGCTTCTTTGTGCTCTTTTTCATTTTTCTCTTCCTTGGAGTCTTTCTCTATGCCTTCCCTGTAAGTATCTGTGTGGATGTGTGTGGATGGTAGTAATTGTGTTGATAAAAGAACAAGATTAAAGTTTAAATGGGGGTTTCTGAGATCATGCAGTGTTTGATCAGAGATGCATGTCTCTGATCGTAGTTCAGGAATGTGGCATGTGTTACTCAGTATTACACACGCACACAGACAGAGTCATGCACACTGAAGACATTTCATATTGTTCTGTGTAGCATACATGTGTTGAAATAATGTTTTCAACTGTTAGCCATACATACAATGTAAAACATACAGGATCAAGAAACCAACCATATGTGCATATAGTACCATTTTTATTATTTTAATTATTATATTATAACCGTTTAAAAGTTTGGGGACAGTACTTTAAAAAAAAAAAAATTTCTTAAATGCAGCAAGGATACAATAAAGAATACAAAACTGACAGTAAAGATATTTATAATGTTACAAAAGATTTATATTTCTTTTAAACTTTCTGTTTATCAAAGAGTCCTGACAAAAAATAAAAAGTATAAGTTTGCTCAAAAATACTAAGCAGCACAACTGTTTTCAGTGTTTATAATAATAAGTAAAGTTTCTTGAGCACCAAAATCAGGTTAGCCATACATACAATGTAAAACATACAGGATCAAGAAACCAACCATATGTGCATATAGTACCATTTTTATTATTTTAATTATTATATTATAACCGTTTAAAAGTTTGGGGACAGTACTTTAAAAAAAAAAAAATTTCTTAAATGCAGCAAGGATACAATAAAGAATACAAAACTGACAGTAAAGATATTTATAATGTTACAAAAGATTTATATTTCTTTTAAACTTTCTGTTTATCAAAGAGTCCTGACAAAAAATAAAAAGTATAAGTTTGCTCAAAAATACTAAGCAGCACAACTGTTTTCAGTGTTTATAATAATAAGTAAAGTTTCTTGAGCACCAAAATCAGTATATTAGACTAATTTCTGAAGGATCATGTGACACTGAAGACCAGATCAATGACTGCTGTAAATTCAGCTTTGCCAGCACAGGAAAATTTAAGTTTTACGTTTTTAAATTTTACAGTTGTAGATAGATTATAAAATGTGCTAGAATTTTGCGTTTTTAAACTGGTATTGCATTTTTATAGAACTATGCTGCTATGAAGATGGTTGGACCCTTCAGTGGAGTGGGAAAAGGAACACAGTGAGACAGAAAAAGATAGAAAAAAGGACATAAACCCTCACATCCATTACCAACCACATCAAAACTCCATCACACATCTCTGTCCATCCTACTGGAGACATCTGCGTCGCTTGTGCACATGTCCTTGTGTCTTACGAGCCAAGAGAAAACTGAAGACAGCCTGAGAGTATTTGAAGTCTTTATATGTGCGTTAGCCTGTTCTAGCCCTATATGCATGAACGTTGCATAACATCTGTGTGTTTGTACATGTATTACACACCAAGCTCCCTGCCCTGTATCTGCCCCAGTCCTGAACTCTCTCAGTATTCTCTTTAACTCCCACTTACACTTTCATCTCCCTGCCCGTTTAATCCTTTTTCATGTCTCCTGTAAAACTGGGTTCTTTCTTCACAGCCAGATGCTTCTTTCTTCTTCCTTCATGCGGAGAGAGGGAGACAGAGCCGTGTCCCACCACCTCCCATCCATTCGTTCCTCTCCTTTCAACAGCGCTGGCTCTTTAGGTTAAACCCTGATTTGTACCGTTAGGCTGTAAGATCCGAGACAGGCTGGTTATTAGCTGAGCCCCCGCTGTCAGCAAGCCCACCTCTCTGATTACTATCACACTCTGTTATTTTGCTTTAGCGAAATCCCCTCTAAATGGATTCAGGGTCAACTGTGGGTTGGCAACATGTGTGTGTGTGGAATGTGGGCTGTGAATGAGAATGAGAGATAAAAGACTTGTTTATTTGTGTAAATGTTACACTCACGTCCCGGGTGCCTTTGTGCCTTTTTGCATTTGACTCTGTAAAGCATGAAAATGAGCAGGCGCATCTGGAAGAATTTGCCAGACTTCTAAACATGCCTGTGAAAGAGCTGTTACATGATAAAATACACAAATTACTTGTTTTCTCTCCATGACCAGGTCATGAGCTCCTCTTCTACCAAGTGAGTATAAACTATGGTGGAGTCACATTTAGTGAAACTGGAATCTCAAAACTTGGAGCATCTGTTTAGTCAATTCTGCATGCTCACATTACATTTATCTGATGGAGCTTCTCTATGAACAGAAAATGTCAAGAGATCTGGGTTAATCTGAAATAATCTGCAGGATGTCCAAAAGTGTTTACATTTTATTTTAAAAAATGAGGGCAAAAGTAGTGAAGAAGGGATTTGATGTTTCCATCAAGTAACTGATTTGACAGTAAAAAGGATGAATTGCTATCTCTGTTACAGAAAGAAAAATGAGCGATTATGTTTATTTTTTTCATTGTAGCTATTTTCTGCACATCATGGATCTACAATATCACTGATTTATGAAAGGAAAGTGAATGAGAAAACATTAACTAAAAAAGCTTTGCCTTAGCGTTCTCTTGCCAAATATTGTACAGTATATAGCTGAATAACTGCATTTATGCAAAACACAAATCCCCATGCTGCGCGTCTATGAATAGTTGTCATTCATATACAACTTTTGCCATACATTTCTTAATTTGACAGTCAAAATGGATATTTCTGTTATTGACCTTCCGAATGGCTTTTTGCAGTCTACTGTAAAGATGCACATCGTCTTATTGCCTTAAAGCTTCTGCTGTCATCGCTGATTAATTCACTGTTGAAATCGACTGTATTTGTATCTCACTGTAATATGCTTTGGTCAAATATATACCTATCTATACACCATTTTGTATATATTTATCTTTTCATTTTGAGTCAGATGTAATTGAAGTTTCTTCTAAAGAAATGTGTTGCTTTTATTTAAATTTTTTTCACTAGATCCACGGACCACCTTATGTGCACATTTAACCTTTAAAGCCAAACCACAACAGACTGCTCAGGGTGTATGACTTGAGAGCAAATTAGAAACACTCCAGCGCCTAGCCAGGGGTTCATGGAGCCAAGGGCAACTTACGCTTGCATTTCTAACAGCTGTTCTGTAAAGTGAGTCATTTAAAATATGATACAGTATATTTCTGAAACAATGTTCTGAGCTCACTTTTCTTTTTGTGTAGGATACTCTTACTGTTCATGGGTCTTGTTAACTCTTAACAGTGTAGGGAGGAAAAGTTAAATGTTAAAATGTAAATTTGGTGAGACACCGTTTTGAAGTCTCTCACACACTTTTACTCATTGTAACAAGGTTACAATATATAGAAATGGCCATATCATAGTATCCAGTGCAAGTTATACCAGAGTGATAGATTTGGCACTCAGTGAAACCACATCATCACTGTACCTCTGTGTACTGCTCCAGCCCAACCTGAATGGGACCATGGACCCCAGTTCATGTTCATGTTTACATCCACTGTAAAAAAAAATATATATATTGCTGCAATTATAACGACTTTAAATTTGTTGAGCTAACTTAAATATCCAACTTAAATAAAAGAACCATGATTACTTAGTCTAATGTTGAATTTTAAGTTACTAAAAATGTTAAGATAACTAATCTCAGCAATCGTTTTTTACAGTGTATACACACTGCCATTCAAAAGATTTTTTTCTTTTCTTTCTTTTTTAAAATTATTTTAATGCACATACAATTAATCAAAAGACTTTTACATTTATGTTTTTACATTTCTATTTTAAATAAATTCTGTTCTTTTGGACTTTTATTCATCATAGCATACTGAAAAAAAATGTGTCACTGTTTCTACAAAAATATGTAAAATATCCTTTGCCATCACAGGAATAAAGTACATTTTAATATGTATTGAAAAACATGTTATTTTAAACTATAATATATATATATATATATGTAAGACAAATGCACGAGAGGACAGGATAATGCGGAGACTTTCAATGGGGAATCGGTTCAACACTGCAGCTGGAATTGCTTGCCAGTTCAGTGCTGAACAGGGTCTGGATCTGTCTCAGGACGTTAAAGTGAAGTCAGATATATATATATATTATTTATTTAATATTTTAAACATTTTCTGTATATTTGATCAAATAAATGCAGCCTTGGTAAACGTATATATACTGCATATATAATTAAAAAATACTTGAAATGATCTTGTGGATGTAAACTTGGTCACTTATTCAGTATTCCTTCAGTATTCAGTATTGCTAAAAGTAATCAGAAAATCAGGTCAGTGCACATTATTGGCATAGTGCATGATAAGCACAAAACATTCATTCAGAAAATGTATAAAGACTATTTTTGCATGTCTTATTTGTCTTTGTACACAATTAATGTAGAATCAAATCTGTGGAATGTAAGATTTAATTTGCCCGAACAACAACTTTATCAAGGCAACAGTTGATGTATATAATCACTAGATTTTTGATGTGTTGAGTCACCTTTGTTTCTCTTGCCTTTGTTTTGACAATGCCTGAGATTTAGCAGTTTTTTGCTCTTTGAATAGTGAAATTATGCACTTTTGAATCATTCAAATCATTCAATTTGAATGAAATAATTTTTTGAAAAATCAAAAAAAATAAATAAAATAAAATTCTGTACATTCATTGGTTATCATAGGTACATAAAGTGTGCAAAGACACTGAAACATTTGTACTGACCGCACCTTTAAAACAAGCACGTTTAAAGTAGATGTCAACAAATTATTTTAGGTTCATGAAATACTAAAATCATGAAAATAATAGGCAGGGTTATTATAGTTAATTAAAACTAAACCATAAAAAACAACATTCATGTGTTAAATGAGATAAACAAACTATATTAAAAAATAATAAAGGTGGCAAAAACACAATTAAATTACTAAAACTTAATATGATAAGGGAAAATATATAAAAATTCAGTATATGAATAAAACTATATAGGCTAACAGAGGGACCAGTAACACTGTTAATTGATTGGTTTTATTGTATTTACTCAGTAAGATTAATTATGTTCAGTGTTCATTATATATCCTTCACAAAATACTTGTTTACAAATATCTATATAGTATAATACTGTAAGTTGAACTGTTTCTGTATACATTTATCTGCCTAATATATTTTAATCATATATTAATCATAATAAATATCTGTATTATTATACAATAAGTATAATATATAATAAATATCTATAATATTATGATGTACAAATATATTTTATGTTTCTGTGCATATGTACATACTTTTACTTTTTAAATATATTTTAGATGCTGTCAGTACATCCATTTTGTCCATTTCAGCATATCCAAACGTACAAAATGTGCTTTAACAATATAAATACCTACAAATACTAATGAGATTGGGATGGATCTTCACATGTTTTTTAATTAATATTGGTCACTCAAGTCCAAAGCAAAATCCACTGCCATTTCATTCTGTATTCTAAGTTATTTCTGTTACAACAGGCCTGGTGGCCTTACGGTGCCCTCTCACCCTTGAACACACATGGGAATAGAGGTGGTTTTTATGCAGCAGTGTGCATATTTGTTTGCCTGCTTCATGCATTCTTCAAGCAGCAGGGTGGTACGCACTTGATGCCCTACTGAGTATTCCTTACAGACATGTCTGGCTCACAGCCTATCCTTGAGTTTGGACCATGACAATAAAAGCTCCTGCTACAGGTCTGCCAAGATTTCATCCACAAAACCTCCAAAACCGGCTATTAGCTCGACCTACAACAGTGCCTGACAATAAGTGGCAGAGAACATGATGAGAAAAAAGGAAGGGAGGAGAGGAGAAAAATGCTGGGAAATGAAGTCTACAGTCACCGAAACGCAATCTGAGGAACGCGAAGGATACTGATTATTAAGACATTGAATTAAACCATTTGAGGTTCCAAGTTTATGAAGGTGGAAGGGGCCGAGGGTGTTGAACGACAACAGGAAAGACAATCTCAGATGAGTCCTTACATGACCTTAGTGATGGAAGACAAGTGTGTGTGGCTTGCGGCCACTGGGTTGTTACTGGCATGTATTTCAGATGTGACGGAATCAGTCTCACATTATGATGTCTGGGAACCAAACACCACTCTTTCCTCTCATTACAGCAGGAGGAAGCATTAAAGGTCAGCTAACAGGAAGTAAAAAATGCCAGTTTCTTTGAAGTTAGAATGTGGGAGGGTAGCTTTAAGCATCTAGCCCTTTGCGTTGTCTTCGTCAGCCAGAACAATGTGTTCCTTTGTTGTGGAAAATTGCATTGTTGTCCCTTGTGGTATTTGGTTTTACCACTTTATCTTACCCTTGCTTCAGATGTGCCCACAATTCTTTTGTTTCCAGCAAAACAGGGCGCTAAATAACAGTTAGCATCAGTAGTGTACAATGTTCTCATTTACAATTACAGCTGAAAGTCCTTTATTACAGAGATTTTCATTTTAATTAGGGAAACATCTGAGCAGCTCACCAAACCTTCATAAACACCACATTCTGGTGGTTTCCAATCAGCTGGGAGGGAGAAAGTGTCATTTAAGTATGTCATTTTCATGTTGTATTTCTACAGACAGATCATAAAAATGACCTCGTGTCTACTTTTAATCTACTTCTTACCTTCTCCATGCAAATCCCATTATCAGTTATGTTTAGTTCCGTTAACGGTTCTTCTGCCGATATGGACAGAATGCCTTACTGAAATATTTTGACATATAAGGATTTTTCAAACTCTGCTGCTCTGTGTTTCATGGAAACCTGTCTGAATGAAGCCATTCTGCACAGCGCTTTACATCTGCCGGGCTTCCAGCTGTTCAGGGCGTATTGGGACACAGAATCAGCAGGGAAATTGCGAGGTGGTGGGACATTATTTTACATCAATGAAAGATGGTGTACAGATGCACCAGCGTTGAAGAAGATGTGCTGTCCTGATCTAGAAGCGCTTTTCATCAACTGTAAGCCTTTCTACTTTACATTCCTCCGCAAGCAACAATGCCTGGGCTCTGTTATAATCATTCTTGGGGACTTTAATAAAGCAAACCTCACACATGAATTGCCAAAATTCAAACAACACATTACATGCCCCACTAGAGACAGAAATAGTTTGGACCACTGGGACACCACAATAAAGGATACATATCACATCATCCCCAGTGCAGCTTTAGGACTCTCTGACCACTGCCTGGTTCATCAATTTGAAAATTCACATCCAACAACCGCAACATCACCACTGCTCTTCTCCCTGTACACCAACGACTGTACCTCTACTGACCCCTCTGTCAAGCTCCTGAAGTTTGCAGATGACACAGATGACACAGTCATCGGCCTCATCCAGGACGGTGACAAGTCTGCTTATAGAAGTGAGGTTGAGCAGCTGGCTGACTGGTGCAGTTTTAACAGTCTGGAGCCCAACACGCTCAAAACAGTGGAGATGATGCTGGACTTCAGGAGAACACACACACACCAACCATCATAAACAGTACTTTGGAGACATTCAGGTACCTGGGCACCTGGGCATCTCTCAGGACATGAAATGGGACAATCACATTGACTCCTCAACCTGCCACAGGAGCTGCTGAAACAGTTCTACTCTGCAGTCATTGAATCAGTCCTCTGCACTTCAGCTACCAAAACTGACCTCAGAAGACTACAGCGGATAGTTCGGACTGCTGAGCGAATCACTGGTACAACCCTCCCCACTCTCCAAGAACTGAGTGAGGAAAAGAGCTGGCAAAATCACTCTGGACCCCTCACACCCAGGCCACTTCCTCTTTGAACTGTTGCCATCTGGTCGGCGCTACAGAGCAATGAGCACCAAAACAGCCCGACATAGGAAAAGTTTCTTCACTCAGGCCA